ATTTTTCGTGGAGGTCCAAAAAGACAGACCCAATCGCTCAAGAATAGTCTTGCTGTCACTGCAGCAGAGGCTTCTCTCATGGGCGAAAAAACTATCCATCTGGAAAGTCTATCCTGTATTACAAGGATATATCTGTNTGGGCGAAAAAACTATCCATCTGGAAAGTCTATCCTGTATTACAAGGATATATCTGTTTCCTTGAGAGCTGCTGGGAACCGGTCCCACAACGTCTAAGCTGACTTCCTCAAAGCAGTTCTTTGGAATCCCTGTAGTCATATAGGGAGTTCGATGAGCATAGTTTTTATTCTGCTGGCATGTGGTACAAGTTCGAATGTACTGTGCTACATCTTTTTCGAGGTTTGTCCAGGTAAATTCTTGACGAATTGCGAAAACGGTTCTATCTGTTCCGCTATGCCCCATCCCCCATTATTTGCTGGGTACACAGATTGGAAACATATTGAAAATTGATCAATGATGACAGAAGTGAACCCTGGCCATTATACTGTGATTAATGAACAAAACCCATTTTGAGCAATCCATTTATCCAGAAAAAGTTTATATGCAGAAATGGTTCACAGGAGCCATGAGGCTGGCATCCTATAAGTGTGCATTGGCAGACATCCCACTGCTGATTTTTTATCACTTCTCTCTACCCACCTCCTGCATTTTGTGGATTATTGCATCCTTTTGAAGGCAGCAAAAAGTTTTCTGGTTAAATTACTAGTCCTCAAAAGGTTTGTTCCAAAAATAGCTTCAGACAACAGCAGCTTAAAGGAAGGTGTTGCCTGACAATGATTTTTTCAGTGGAAATTTTCCATTCAAATGCCTTTTGTAACCATGCTGGAGCACTTAAGAAACACAAATTCACGTATTGTATGAGAGGAAATTTAACAAGCTTTCTTTTTTCTTGCTGATGTAGCTCAATTTGCTACTGAGCTATTGCCATTTGCAAATTGGCCAACTTTTGATGTCCACCCTACTGTATATAAGACTGCTACATGGCGCAATATGATGTCACTGCAGTCCTTCTATCTCTTTGACTCTCACTCACTCTCTTTTTTTCTTTTTCTCTCTCTCTATCTCTCTCTCTCTTTCTTCTTTGTCAATTATGAGACTCTGATGAAAAGAACAGTTAGTTGAGACCATCAGGAACTGTAATCCATCGTCCGTAAAGTAAACTGAGGTTCAGATGACAATTTGCTATGGAATCCCGACTCTTCTTTGAAACTTTGTGCATGTCATATCTTCTGCACCACTTATCGACAGGCGTGCTATAGATGATGAGACCAGTTAGTCTCTAAAAATTTTAAATTGCATTTCAGACAAATCGAAACTTTTGAGCCATTTTCATGGAGCTATGTGCCGAGAAAAATGCAACAGGGACAAACAATCATAGTACCTATATATATACACTATTCACCTGAAAATGGATATCGCCGCACTGTTGGGGCAGTGTCTGTAGATGAGGGGTGAAATACTGGTATATTTTCAAAATTTTATGTTGGGCATGCTGAAATTGTTCTTGTAGTTTCTGGGAATCCCGGCCGTCGCAGATCAATGAAGTGATGGCAAAATTTTTTAGTCAGAAGGATTCCACTTAATTGGATGTTTACTCGTTGTTCTTCTTCAGAAGGAAACTTTCTACCCCCAAAGATTCTCTAAAACCCTTTATGCAAAAAAATTGATTATTTACGCAGGAAACAGGTTTGAAAAATTCCTAGTTTAATTCGTTGAGATACGCATGCAGATATCCTGGAAATATTGTAGAGGTGATTGCAGAAAATGCTCATTTTTCAAATCCTCCAAAAACTGAAGATGTGCCATGCTTTGTTCAAAAACATTTTTACAGTGTGGACCAGAAAAATGTGAAATGATCTTTGACTCAAAATAGCTCCATAGAAAATTGAGCTGTGGCTATAAAAAACCCAAATGCAAGCTTGTTTAATTCTAGCATGAATGGCATGCAGTTTTATGGTCCTAGCTCCTAAGTGATGCCATGACATGTTCACAAGAACTATTTTAATGGAAATTTTCCACACCAAAAAATTGGCAGGCAACTCATCCTTCCACTAAGCTGTTGCTCTATATATACAGCAGTTTTTAGGGCTGAATTGGGCGTTGGGCCAGAAATTTAACTAACAAACTTCATGCTGCCTTCAAGAGGGTGCACCAATTTTCCAAAAGTCAGGTAAGATGGGAATGAGAAGTGAAAAAATGAAGCAATGGTATGTTGCAGTGCTCCTCTCCTGACTACCAATGCAAGCTTGCTATGTGCTATCCTCATGGCTCCTATGATCCCCTGGTTACAAATTTGTTCAAGATTTTGTACTTCTCCCTCCTATTCTCTAAATTTTTATCATGTGTTCAAGCTCTTGAAAGCAGGATGAAGTTGCCTGGCTAAATTTCTGACCCTACACTTTATTAAGCCCTAAAGCAGCTCTGGATAACATAATCTTAGGGGAAGGAGATGACTGCCAATAAGTTTTCATTCAAATGGTTCTTGTGACCATGACATGACACGTCAGACCATCAAACTGCATACCATTCAAAAATGAAGTGAACAAGCTTTCATTTGGTCTTTTGTTTTCTCATACAGCCACAGCTCAATTTACTACCAAGCTATTGTGAGTCAAAAATCAGTTCCCTCTTTTCTGGCCCACCCTGTATATCACATCCTCTGCATGGGTAGAAAATCCCATGTGCGGACAATCTACCTTCAGTTAATTTATTCAAATGGGTTCGGAAATGATCTAGGCAATCCTTGCAAGCCAGCATCATGATCATTAAATATTAGCTCATACCTTTATGACGGGATCTGCAAAACAATCAGCCTTATGGGTCAAAGCATTTCTTAGATAAATTAACTACCCGTGAGATATACTGCAAGTTCGTGATTCAGTCACTCAGCTGCTGATTGAAACTGAAAATCGTTTTTTTTCAGCGATCAGATTTCTCGCATCTATAGGACGATTTTTGCATCAGATATGAAATACTGCATGCTGCGTTTTTAAAAATATGCTGCTAGTCGGAAAATTCATTCACTTCCACAGCATTTTTCTTTGGAAACTCCATATTTTTCTCGGATATAACGTTTGATTTCCCAGAGAATTTGAATCTACCAATTAAATTCGGTGTTTTTTTTCTACCATGGATGGGAAATACAGTAAGACATGCGGACACCTTGACCTGCGGAAATTCGACATAGGGCCCCCTTTTTTTCATAAAAATTAATTAAAAAGGCCTGACATGAGGATAGACTCAACATAGGGACATTTTGTGATAAAATCACAAATACATTTCAGGCTAAATTACAAGAAACAGATATTTCCAACCCTAAAAATGAGGCAAGAAACATTGTTGGGCATTTCCCTCACCAATTTATCATCCATCTAGCTACTTTAAAAAATTACCTCCAGCAGAGAGGGACTTCCATCTCTCTTTTTTCCTTGAATGTTATTGTTTACAGAGAATGCCAACATTTCTGAGTACTCTACAAAGGTTTCAGAATTCAATTCCCAAAATGTCCATATTGTGTTGAAATACATTGATTGGAATCAGTTTAAATTGGGAGACAATTTTTATTTTCATGGAGTTATGGTAAGTATTTTGTACATGAAACACCAATTGAAATCTATATACAAGGGTTCTAACAAAAGTTCTTGGAGTCAACCACAAGCCATCACCAGAAGTGGATGAAATTTTTTTATTGGATTCCTCATCTTTTTTCAACCTAGAACCAATTTTTTTCATCCCTAGATAAAAATGGAAACTGGGAAAAAAATTGAATGAGTTCTTTCTGGTGCTGTGCCCACCCATTCTAACAGAAGTTCTTGGAATGAAAATGAAAAAAAAAAATTGGGGCATAAACATTTTCTTATTGACAAAAAACATTCAAGAAACACAGGAAAAAATCTTCATCTTCAATGTTAAACATATTTCCCACCAATGGCAATGCACTTTTCAAGTCAATGCACCCATTGTTGAAAGCAGTGAGATAAACTTTCTTTTTCAATGCTTTACAGCTCCTCAGTCACAGCAGAAATCAGCTCTTCCCTTGTTCCAAACACTTTCCCTTGAAGCCCTTCTTTCACAGTTGGAAACAACCAAAGATCACAGGGAGCAAGATCAGGGGAGTAAGGAGGACAAGTCAAAAGCTGAATGCTGGAATTTGAAATAAAATCAAGAGTTTTCAAAGCAGTGTGCACAGGAGAATTGTTGTGGTGCAAAGTTGTAGAGCAATGCATGTGCGCAACTGCTCTTTTGTCATGGGTGGGCACTTCATTGTATACGACTCATTCAAGTTTTTATTTTGCGTTTCCATTTTCATCTGGGGATGAAAAAAATGGTTCTAGGTCAGAAAAGGATGAGGAATCCTATGAAAATATTTTCATCCACCTCCAGTGATGGCTTGTGGTTGACTCTGAGAACTTTTGTTAGAACCCTCATAATGTAAGTCTAAGGAAAAATGAGACTCAACATGGGGACATTTTGACTTAGGGACACTCTTGATGAACCAATTATTACATTCGCATCTCCAGGTCTCACTGTATCCATGTTATTTTGAACATCACTGTGTAGTCCATTACTTCCACCAGCATGCATGAATATGGATAAAACAATCGACGATATTCTTTACAATTGCAGTACTATGATTCGCGAAAATAAAGACCTAAATTTTATTGCTGAAATTTGCAAATACATACAGTACAATGTGTCGGATTTCCGTCGTAATATTGATAATACTGAGCTTGCTGCTCGAAGTCAGCGTAAATTAACAAAAACATTTTTCACATGTGGGCTCGTCATGGTTACATATTCCCCTCATGCAGCAATTGACGATCCATAGCCGTTATCGCAATACTGCTGGTGCTGCTGCTGGCAACCAAACACTTGCAGTAATTAAAACCCGGTGTTCTCTTTCTGTGAAGCACATGGCTATTTTTTCCCGCCTTTCTTCTATGATGCGTATATGGAAGTGGATGCGTAGCAGTTTTGATGGAGGAAGGGGGGAAAGATGTGGGAAAACGAGTTGCAGAGCTTCAGTTCGTCGCGTGTCACCCTTGAATCAAGGGCTGAATATCTTCCATGAAAGTTTCCGTCTCATCAGCAAAATGCATCCCTTATTCCCTCAAGTATTGCTGTTGCTGATGGTGAATAACAGTGGCTTCCCATCAGTATTTGCCAAAGCGATGACGACACCGCCATCAGCACAGAATACCGAAAATGCCACTGTAACGGATGCTGCTACGACCATACAGCCGGAAAATACGCTGTCGGAAAGTGACAATAAACTGTGTCTGAATGCTGTGATTAATGATAACGAAGATGATTTCATGGTCAGAAATGGAGTCTCTGACGCATTGAATGATGAAGTTGAGAGAACGACGACGAATTCTTCCCCGTCGGAAACAAAAACACCCAGGTTGGTTCGAAAAAATATGGATTATTCGACAGGCATGAACAATGTATGCACCGTATTTGATCGAAAATGTTGATGGAGCATGAAAATTTCCCGTGACAGTCATCATGTTGAAAAATACTTGAGAATTTTGTTTGATGTTTTCTGAAAACAAAACAGAGATGAAGCTCTTTTTACAAAGTATACATCGAAGCTGGTCTAGTCGTGCGTCTTGAAAAATTGCTTGGCAAAAGTGAGTCTTATCTGGGTAACTGTATTTCAGATGTGAAATATCATACTACAGGTAGTAGAAACCGTATAATAGAGGCACATTCAAGCTCTGAATGTCTTCATATTCAGTATAAAATGCGTCTCATATGCGTTTAGAAAATAGTTTATGTCAGCAAGACACATCACCAATAATTTGACCTTGTCCTCGGTCCTCCTTCCACAGCAACATTTTGTTACTTTTCAGAATTACAATTTTTAAAATCCAGGATATATATGTATTATCCTTTATTCACCAAGTGTTCGTAACCTTTAGTACAGTACTTCTAAGTTTGTGTGTCTCTCTTAATGTTGAGCAGGTCAGGAAAAGACTTGGATGTTTTTCCTTCTTGATATTGTAAATAGTCTTTATTGTACTTGAAGTACACAAACCACAATGACACCATACAGAGACAAGGCAAAACCACAGAGATTTCCTTCATAGGATTCTCACAGAAAGTCACTGCACTAATGCCTGTTTGGGAGGAATCTGCCATATCTAAAAAAATATTCTAAAGGAATATAATATTTGTGTACCTGGTACAGGTACATAATTGCGGGACAAATCTGGATATGAAGGACAGGGAAAGGGACATGTCCTTCTAACAAAGGTCAGGTCAGGAGAGCCTTGAGAATATTTTATTAAAATGATGATTATTCTCTCAATTACAGGTGTATGTGTATTAACTGCAGGGTTCTCAGAAGGATTAATACATTGAATAAGTTCTTCTTATTCACTATCTTTTCCTCTCTTGCTTTTCTTTTCATGTAATCCCATTGGCAGAGCCTGAAAGGGTGTGACATTAAGTTTGAAATTGTTTCATCACGCAATCATGTCAATTTCTGATGATAACAGATTCCATTTTGTTGAAAGAATTTTCTAAAAAATCTTCCACTGAGGACAATTGAATGCTTGGAAACTTTTTAATTCTTCCCAAATCACGCACCAAAGTATATTTTGTTGGTAGAAAAACACTTAAAGACCGCTCTTTTTTGATACGGAACACCTCATTGTATGAAACAACTGATAATTTGATAGAATGATTTATTATAGTTGATGCAATAATTTTTTTAATTAATAATAAATAAATTTAAATTATCCTTTTAAATTCTTTTGCTTGAATTGGCGCATTGATCACCATTGCCATTAACAGTTTACCCAGCTTGCCATACCAATTTTATTTTATGTAATAAACAGAAAAATCTTGCCTTCTGCGATTGCTGATCTGTTCTACAGTATTTTAAAAAGGATAAATAAAAATCATGATTTTTGCGATTGCTGATCTTCCAGGGAAAAAATTGATGAACGAGGTAATAGAGACAGTTAGGTTTCTGAACCAATTGGCTGCATTTCTTGTATTTATGTAACAATATAGAACGGGTCTGGATGTGACATGCTTCCGCTTTTTTTTTTGCCCCTTCCACCTATATTGGCAGTCTCTGACCTTCACATTAGAAACATGCGGAAGGTTGGTAGAATCTTTAGAAATGTCAATGTGTTGATCTTCAGCCAGGGTGAGAATGACAGAAGTTTGAGAACACATCAGGTCCAGGTGCTGAAGTCATGAGCAGGTGACATCATACAAGAATAACACAGCTGTTTCCTGAGAAAACACACTGTTCGCGAACTGATTAACGGCTTATGAAAAACTAATTTCAGTGAGATTTTTATTGACTTTTCTGTGGAAACTGATGGGCTTCTTTAAATTTCCAAAAGACCAATGAGAATAATGATCCTCTAACGGATTTTTGCTGCTGGACACCATTAATTTGCTGGAGCTGCACCAGCAGAAAATTCTCTACCCCTGTTTGTTTGCTTAATACTTTTTCTTATGCTTATTTCCAAATGAAGCCAAGTATCATATGGGATCCCATATGACTCAGATGGTCATTGAAATAAAAGCCCGCATGTAACCAGTGACTAATAAACGTTGCGCCATCTTAAGCAGAAATGTACTGCATCAAAATTGTATTGTGCCAATAGTGATGTCATAAATCTTTTATTTTTGAGTACAGTATTTGTATGGAACATTGAGCTTCAATTTTTAAAGCTTGAAAATGTCAAGAACTTCTGCCCATATACAGTATATTTTATAACGTAGCAATTCTTTCCACATTTTATGAAACTGCTGACGCGTTCCTTTTAATTGATGAGCGGACATGGTTTCAATAAGCTATCATGGCTCATTGGAATACTATATAACATATGCCAGTAATCTACAGCCCGTGGTCCGCGGACCAGGACTGGTTGGCTGACGTTTTTTGCTGATCTGCGATAAATTTTTGGCAGCAAATAAAACGATCAAAAGTCACAATGAAGTCAATTATCTTCATGTGCAATTTTGGAAAGACAATGCAGTTGAAACTATCCGATGAATTAATATAAGTTGGCTTTTCTCCTAAAACACATCACACAAATTTTCACCTGCTGAATTAATTGTTTAATGTTTCATTATGAGAAACCTTTCTTTAAGCCCACCTTCCTCATTTTTGGACGCAATTCAGCTATAGCTGCCTCATTAATGGTGCTTAACTGAACTTTTGAAAAAATTGAATCTTTCAATTGCATGCCATGAAGTCTTTCAAGCAACACTTTTTGAATTTTCAGAAATGTTCTGAAAATTTTCCAGTCTGTAGAAAATTGTAGGGAAATTTTACTGGTCAGTAAAGAAATGTATGCAAATGTTGCTGGTCTGCAAAGAAATGTATGGAAATTTTTCTGGTCTGTAAAGAAATGTATGGAAATTTGCTGGTCTGTGTAGAGCCCAAAAAGGTTTTGGAACACTGCTATATGTCACCTGGATGGTAATTGTGACACCAAGGAGCTGAGAAGAAACTTCATGAAGCAATATTAAAAATAACTTTTAAAAATTCACGATATCTTGAGAGACTTTTATGAATAAGAATTACTTAGTTGAGAAGAAATTTCTGGGTCCTAATGCTGCAAGCAGTAATTTTTATTATATTGCATGAACTGATATGTTGCCAGAGGCCCAGAAGCTCATTGAATTAGAGCAATGGACTGATTTCCAGAACAGTTCCAGTTGTCCAGACAGGTTGAAATGCATTCCCTTGTCTGTCATCCACCATGACATGCTCTGCTTTCTGCAACTCTGTACTGGGATTCTTGATGGCTCTGTGAACTCTCAAAGAATGGAGATAAACACTTCTCCAAGATTTTCAGAAATATGCCCTTAGGTTTTGAATGCTTGCTAGGACTTTTGACACATTGGATGTCCAGGGAATAAAAGAGATTTCTGTTGATCTTGGCATCAATATGTGATATGGGGTTATTGCTGAGAATGCTGACCCATCATCAGTGAATGCAATTGGGCACCTGTTTAAGTCTCATTCTATTTTTGCCAGTGCAGTGAATAATTCCACAAATCATAGCTTTCCTCTTTGCTTGTCATTTGCTATGAATTAATTTGCTTCCTTCGTGGAATCCTGTGCCTCTATGACAAAATTATTTCTTCAGGGGTTCCCTTTCTGCTTACACATCAAGTCTCTTTGTAGGTTCAAGATGCCCAGCTCTGGGTGTACTGCAAATCAGTATGACTCCCCAACAATTTCCTCCAATAATTGATCCATGAATCAATTTCTTGATTGCATGACCAGCATGATACTGACATCAATATACAAGAACTTTTGCATCATTGCAAAGACACATTTTTCAAAATTCCATCACATATATGATTGATGAAATTTTTTTTTATTCACAGTGATCCCTTGGATTGTCTATGCAGGTCAAATCCCATCAAATACAATTTTTCATGTATACATCATCTAGGCTGAACAAATGTTTTCAGCCTCATTATTGAAAACTTCATTGACATTAAACTATATAAATTTCACCATAAAAAATTCACTGTTTTGTATACAAAAACTAATGTTTCATGATCTTCAGCAGTTTTCCTACTTATGTGCAGCATAAATGGGAAGAAAATAATCACTATATGTTCAGCTGTATCTGAGCAACTTTGGTACTGTCTTACTTCTTGTTTGAAAAATGTGTTATTCTAAAATCCTTGCTTGAAGGAATCAATCTCTCCATTTGGAAAATACTGTATATGCGAAAATATTTTTTGGATAATCTCAATAATCCGTTTTTCAACATTATAACGATGGTTTTCGACTATACTGTGTATAGTATTCAGCATATACTGTATACTGTATATGGAAAAATTAGCTACTTTTTTCTTATCGAAGCTTGAAAACTGAAAGAAGTTGCGCTGATATTATCGACCCTCTTTCAGGATTCTGCTGCTGGCATATACATTATACTGCTTCAAGTTGGAAAATTTCCGCATTTCCATTTCGTATCTTCATTCCAGACTCGGTTTCGAACAACTTCACCTTGAACACGTCATCCCATCCCACTATGATCGGATGAAATGGCCAGCCCCGAATCACGGCACCGAACCCGTCCGAGTGTCCGTCTTGGCCGCCTTGGGTCGCATTCAGGCCGTCAACGAAGTGGACAAGAGCTTGACTTTCGATTTGTACCTGGAGTTGGCCTGGCGGGAACCCCGTCTGAACCTGTCAGCCAAGGACTGGTCCAAAACGGACGTGGTACCACTGCCGCCTGAGTTCTCAAACTTGTTGTGGACACCCGACCCGTACATCCTCAACCTGAAACGATTGAGCAGTGCGAGTGTGGTGAAACCCCCGAGGGGACTCGAAATCACCGGTTGTTTGGCAAAAATCCCTTACACAGGAGGTCTGTTAGGCGGGGGGCCACTGTAATTACTATATGTTCTGCTGTATCTGAGCAACTTTGGTACTGTCTTACTTCTTGTTTGAAAAATGTGTTATTCTAAAATCCTTGCTTGAAGGAATCAATCTCACCATTTGGAAAATACTGGATATGCAAAATATTTTTTGGATAATCTCAATAATCCATTTTTTTAACATTATAACGATGGTTTATGACTATACTGTGTATAGTATTCAGCATATACTGTATACTGTATCTGGAAAATTAAGCTACTTTTTTCTTATTGGAGCTTGAAAACTGAAAGAAGTTGCGCTGATTATCGACCCTCTTTCAGGATTCTGCTGCTGGCATACATATTATACTGCTTGAAGTTGGAAAATTTCCGCATTTCCATTTCGTATCTTCATTCCAGACTCGGTTTCGAACAACTTCACCTTGAACACGTGATCCCATCCCACTATGATCGGATGAAATGGCCAGCCCCGAATCACGGCACCGAACCCGTCCGAGTGTCCGTCTTGGCCGCCCTGGGTCGCATTCAGGCCGTCAACGAAGTGGACAAGAGCTTGACTTTCGATTTGTACCTGGAGTTGGCCTGGCGGGAACCCCGTCTGAACCTGTCAGCCAAGGACTGGTCCAAAACGGACGTGGTACCACTGCCGCCTGAGTTCTCAAACTTGTTGTGGACACCCGACCCGTACATCCTCAACCTGAAACGATTGAGCAGTGCGAGTGTGGTGAAACCCCCGAGGGGACTCGAAATCACCGGCGACTATTTCGTGAAGATGTCGAGTCTAGCTGCCTACGAGATCGGGTGCAGCATGAATTTCAGGTATATATATATATGACGATGTGTCCATGATTCATATACTGCATACACTACTGCAATTTCATAGAATATTTCCGAGAGCTGGCTATGTATATAATGTATAGATAGACGAGTGGATTGAAATTCTTTCAATTTTTCGTGGAAAATATGCGGTATCTCGAATTAATTGGGACGTGCCAGGCTGTCACTGGTTTAAGCGGCACCCGTATATACCGCGGTATATGGATCATGTACACTTTGTATAGAGTGTAGAAATTCTCTAGCTTTAAAATTATTCTTCATTGAAGTAGTTGTTGTTGAATTAATTCATGTCTTACCGCGAATTTGCGAGGACGGCTGGTGCATCAGATTGTTCGGTCTTTCACTTCCAATCAGCAAAATACCAAGATGGACATGATCCGTGGATATTGCACAAAAAAATCCCATGCAGCAAGGCCCTTTTAAAATTATAAGTTTTATGTCAAAATTTCAATTGTATCTCATCCGGCCCGGTGGAGCTATTGGAAAAAATACAAACACACATTATAACCCCATCATTGTAGAAAAGAACCCACACGAAATAAAAGCACATTTTTTGAAAACTATGGTAGGCTGTGTTCTAAGCTTAACCGAATTTCAGGAAAATCACTTCACGGAAATGCTGACTACCATATCGCAATATTTTTATTCATAAAAATTACTGTTTCAGAGGGAGGGGGATTTGAGGACTGCCACAACATTTGCATTACTGGCGCGTCGAGCCGACAGCAATTTTTAATTTCGCAAATGGAACAATAATATGGAAAAATAAGAAAAAGTCTTGCTGATCCTATATTGTATTTTGAAGTAAGCTTTATTCTAGCTTCATTTAGGCGAAGTGTCACGTCATGAATTACATTTTAGCTCTAGACTTTTCATTCGGAGTTCACTGCATAACTACTTTTTCATTGATATTACAGTACAATACTTAAATTATTCTTATTTGAGCATTCAAATTGTTCGCTTTCCAGCAGTGCAGCATATATACAGAGACACAACATATGCCGCTGCATTATTGAAAGTTCACCATTGCGAGGAGCAATTTTATATTGTAACATCATCAGTATGGACGCGGAAAACATCAAATTAGTGCGTTTTTGAAACTGATGGTGATCACGTATTTATCTCAAACTTTCTACATGACTACATTGTTGCAGAAACTTTTAACCTATGTTATAAAAATCGACATCATCAAGAGATGTATTATTCAACCAAAAGTTTAAAATTGTAAAATTATATGATGGCTGATGGTTCCTCTTCTTCAGAGATTATCCCGTGGATACACAAATTTGCAGAGTACGAATGCAAAGCTTCGAATATGGAACTGATGAATTGATTTTCAACTGGACCGCCGCTTTGGACAATTTTGCTCGGTTAGACACCGAAGACTTTATTGTCGAGGCTGTTCAGTTGGAACCATACAACAAGACGTATTTTGGACAGTGAGTCTCCTTTCAATAATAAAATGCGTCAATAGGAATATTTCTTTTCTTTTTCTTACGTCAATACGAATACGAATGATCGTCCTTATTTTCATTGCAGAGCCATGTGGAACGGAAGGAAATTTTCCAGATTAGAATTCAGGATCATTTTAAGGCGAAGATTTTCTTATCACATGTTGGAGACCTATTTGCCTAGTGTGCTTTTCGTCATGTGTGCATGGCTTTCATTTTTGGTTCCTCGTTCGGCCATTCCAGGAAGGTAATCAATTTTCATTCAGTAATAATATATCCTGTGCAAAAACTGAATCCAAATTTTTTTTAATTACGTCGGTTTCCTGACTTTGCTGTGTAAGGAAATGATTTCCAAAATTGAAGACTTGATTATTCGGAAAGTGGATTTCTCCTGCACTTATTATGTCTTCACCCCCCCCCCCCCCCAGAAATATTTATCAATGAATCCACAAAACCTTGGATANCCCCCCCCCCCCCCCCCCCAGAAATATTTATCAATGAATCCACAAAACGTTGGATAAACATTTAACCCTTGGATGGCAAAGGGTTCCTTTCCATTGCACTCGATTTTCTTGGGTGGTCTTGCATTTCATTTTTCTTGAAGGCCACAAAAGCCAACCCAGGTCACCCAGGGCAAAGTTGGACTTTGTCCGAAAAAGGTGCCGCAAATAATTCCCAAAGTCGGACTTTTTCTGCTAATCTTTGTCTGCCTCTAAATAAGAATCCTCCATCTGGCACCCAGAATGAAAGGGTTGCAACTCTGAGAAGAATGCAAATAATCCAGAGAGAGGCTAAAAAAAAAAGGCTCAGCCTTGGTGATGCATTTTTTTGGGTATTGCGACCTTTCGTTACGGACAATTCGTAACAGCGACGTTTCGTTACGAGCGACTTTTCGCTACATGCGACCTTTCATTACGGCGACCATTCAGTACTGCGACTTTTTGTTATTCTTGTAACGAATTGTCCTGTAACAAAAAGTCGCTGTTACGAAACGTCGCTGTAACGAAATGTCGCAGTAACGAACTGTCCGTAACGAACTGTCGGTAAACCATTTTTTTGGCACAATTTTTCTGTGGATTTAAAAAAATACACCGGGATTTTGCTAATGGACTTTGCCCTGGGTGAACTGTTACTATTATTTTAAAACCTGTCCTCACAGACACAAAATTTTGCGGAAAAAGTTTGCCGCTCAAGGGTTAATTCAAGAAGTGTGCATCAATTTATTGCATTTCACAACTTTTTTCTGCTTCTCTTTCATGTATTACAGTTGAACCTCAATAAGTATAAAACCTCCGTAAGTCAAATTCCGCCCTGAGTAAAATTTTTTTTAGTCCCTGTCTGGATCCCCTTAGAATCAAGGCATTAAAAACCTCCTGTACTCAAAGTCTTTTTCTCCATAAAACTGCTGTAAGTCAGATTTTCTGAGTCCATCTGGTTATTAAATCCTTGAAATATGAAAGAGAAAATCATTAAAACAAATAATTTTATGCATCTTGAAAGAAAATAAAACACTATTAAATCAAATTTACCCCTGCTTCCAATGTTCAGGGAGAGGTGTATAAACTCATTTAAGGAGCAAGTTTAGGTCCAAAATATTGTATACAACAAAAGTGTTTTTTTCCTTAACTATAAACCTCCAAAAATCAGAACCTCCCTATTAAGTCAATTTTTTTCCCTGGTCCCTATAGAAATTCAACTTACAGAGATTCAACTGTAATTGATGTATCCATGAAGAAATGTGCTGTGCGTCAGTCTGATAAATTCCCTGACAATAATCCCTCTCATAATCGATATTCATTTTTATATAGGATGGCACTCTGTGTGACCACATTACTGTCCATGACTGCCATGGTTGCCGCTGTGAAGAAACTCACTCCGCATTCGCAGTACATCAAGGCAATTGAAGTCTGGCTCTTGGCCTGTTTATGCTTCATATTCTATGCGTTGTTTGCCTTCCTGTTGGCCCTAAAAATTGCAAGCTTCGAAAAGACTCTGAAACGAGCAAGGACAATCAGGAGTCGACAGTCTGTGTATTGCATGCCCGACGAAGAAGAGGCGAAAAAAGAGTATTGTACGACAGATGTTGACCACGGAACTGTCATTCAACAACAACAACGTCCACCACCGAAAGTCGTGGTTAAAAATCCCGGAAACGTGTGGAAAAATGCGGCTGATTGGTTCGAGTTTTCATCTTTTGTCGCGTATCCGATTACCTTTGTTGCTTTTTCCATTTGGTACTCGTATAGACTTGCGAAAGCAGCGGGAGTTTACAAGAGTTTCATTCCAAATCACGACTAATTTATGCAGTTTATTCCGCGAATATTTCTGTACAATTCAATATAATGGGTAATGAATATCCTCGAAGTGTTTGATTGAAGTGATATATGCTTGAATTAATGGGACTGAAATCCTGCGGATGGAATTCTGATATATTTTGCTTCCTGTGATTTTGATTGAATTTTTATGGACTTGAATCCTTGGAAGGAAATTAAATATTTTCTTTTTTCTTGCCTTCAAATCTGTGATTTTGCGGCTCAAATTTCAGCGTGCGCAGTACAAAATTTGTCCACATGCACGCAGCAATACATTTCTTGAACAAATTGAAAATACAATGGAATTTTCAGAATATTTCAAGTTAAATACAATAGTGAATTATGGTCCTCATCATTCGGGCGAAAAAGCATTCATGGTAGGCATCCGTACTGTAACACTTTACTATAATATAGTAAAATTTACTTATAAATTTAAATTTAAGGAGGATAGGAGGGTATACAATCCGGATGAACTATTGCAATACCTGTCATGATTAAGAATAACATAAGCTTCTCAACAATTCCAAAAACTTCTGGCTAATTTTGGAGCCTTCACATCTCAATCAATAAACACTATGAAGTAGAAATCTGCTCCAGTGTTTTTCTCAATTTCAACCACCTTTTTGAACAATTTTCGCCAATAAAAGCCACAACATTTTCATTACACATATGCAGTATTGGTTATGTTTTTTGGTACCCTCATTAATATCTGAGGAATCGCAATGCGTCAAATACACAGAACAGTACCCAAATGTTCCCCGACCTTATTTTTGAACCTACGGATCCACAAATTGCATTGAAATATTTTGCAGACCAGCAAATTTTCATAGAAATTTTCTGCGTACAATTTTAGTGCACTTTTTGAAGAACAGCAGAAATCATTTTAATTACGTGCTGTAAATGCCTCAGAACAAAACATGCCTTGCAAAGATTAAGTTATTTTACAAGCCACTGAAGCCTTCATATGTAATGGAATGTCCTTAAATTATAAATAGAAAGCACGCTTCAAGAAAGGATTCACATATTTAAGGATTGAAATAATTTATTCCAGCAGGTGAAAATATGTATGAAATATCAGAATATGTATATGTTACGAGAGATCCCAACTTTCATTTTTCATAACAGAATTTCAAATTTCATGGTCTTTCCAAAAATGTTGGTCATGATAGCATACTTCAAGGCCTGAAATCCTAATTCATCTATCTATGTACACTAATGCAAGAAAATGCATCTTATACAGATTTGTTACTTAATTTTCTTCCGCATACAGTATTTACATGTCATAAATTCATAAAACAGTAGAGTATATTTTCATTTTTTTGGCTAATGACAGCCTATACACAGGGTGGGCCAAAATAAGTAAACAAATTTGTGACTTGAAATAGCTTGATAGGAAATTTGGCTGTGGCAATGAAAAGGCACCACATGAAAGCTTGTTTAATTCTCTTTCAAATGGTATGTGGTTTCATGGTCCCAAGTGCCACAGTAGAATGGTCACAAGAATCATTTGAATAAAAACTTTCACACAAAAAGTTGTCAGACAACTTTTTACACTAAGCTGCTGTTCTTGAGAGCTGTTTGCATGAAGAAAGGAAATGCAGGATGCAGTAATTGCATCAGAAAACTTCATACTGTCTTGGAGAGCCTGCACATTTTCCCACAATTTGAAAGGCAGGGGTGAGAAGGGGAAGGAAATTGACAAGCTAGGACGTTGTGGCCCTGTGGGGCTCCTGGTGTGCATGCCCATTGCTGGCTGCTGGCCTTGTGGCATGCATTGACACACTGCATGTAATTTTTTTTCTGGGTGACTGGATTGCTCAAAATTAGTTTCACTCCAAATCAGTTTCATTCAAAATAATTTCTCTTAAAATCAGTTTCAGAAATCCAGTCATTCAGTACAGGTGAACCTTAATGACTCAAACCTCCCTGTCAAATACTCCCCTAAGTCAAATTTTCTTTGGGTCCCCATCTGAATCCCCGTAGAAACAAATAGATTAAAAACCTCCCTGACTCAAAAGCTTTTCCCCTCAAATCTCCATAGGTCAAAGTTTCTGTGGCCTGTTGGCCATTTTTTCTTGACACAACAAAGAAAAAAGCAATAAAAACAGAAATGTATGGGTTTTAAAGGAAGTGAAAGACTTAATTGGACCAATGAACCCCTGCCTCAGAGTTCAGCAGCCTTTCAATAACTCATTTAAGAAGCCATTTACACCTCAGAATATCACCATTCACATTTTTGCTGAGTTTCCCAGAAAAAAGGGCTTGGTATTGTAGTCCCAACCTATAAAATTCAAAACCTCCCCAAGTCAAACTTTTTTTTGCAGGTTCCTTGAAATTTGACTCAGAGGGGTTTGACTGTATAAGTAATTATACGGAACGTTATTATATACAGTATGAGTCATTCATTGTCATGGAAAATTAACATGATGTACCATTTTATGCAGTGAATCCTTCACGCGCTTTCCTCTGGGGAAAAATGTCAGCGTTTGTAATCTACATGGAAAAAGGTAGCATTTGTCATCGCTATACTAGAGATGTTACTACATAAAATCCTACGACAATTTTAGTGCCGCGTGCTTATATACACAGTAAAAGACTCTAATTTATTGAGAATTTCAAGAAACTCTCGAATCTTTTGTCAATAAAGGGACAAACCGACAAAGCTGAAAAAAAAAACCCAGGCAGCCAGACTTCTTTCAAGCAATATTGACGGATCTCCCATCAAAAAGCTCCACAGATTTTATATCAATCATGGTCCATCTTACTGTTCCCATGACAAGAGTTTCTGGCGCAAGCTTATGGAGCCAAATTGAAATGCTAGTTGTATTTCCTCTCTGATGCGGAAGCACATTACACAATCAGAAGTATTTTGTGTAATGCTCATTATAAAATCATTAAAAAATCATTTTCATCAACAGCCGCCTTCATTTGGCAGCTGCAAAGGCGGCTGCTGACGAAAATGGCGGAATTGCCTTGGATGGCCTGGAGGCAACCCTTGGAGAGAATGCCAAGTTGATTTCAAAAATTCTGAGTGAAAAGCTGGTCTACAACAAAAAAAAGGCGCCTCATATCTTTGAGTGGAGAGCAAAACTCTGCCACGGTGAGTTATGAAAAAAATTAAAAAAAAATGGTCAAATTGGGCTGATTTTTTTTTCCAAAGAATATGTTTTCCGTAAAGAATACATTTTTTCTGCTCAATTGTAAGCAATTTTCTTTGCTACTCTAAGAACTTTTGTTAGAACCCTCGTATAGTATATAAAGGGACTCAGAAGAAAATCAAATTAGAGTAATTAGGCAGAAAGTACCATGTGATGGTATAAGAATGGACTTTATATAGGCCTTAGGAAATGTTACCACAAGAAAATAATGTTGCTTTTGGTCTGAAAATACTACTGTATTTGCTGCATCACGTTATTGGAATGAGGTATACTGCATTTTTGTATATACAGTATATATACAGCATATAACCAAAGAGAAGATGGATTTTATTGAAGAAAATGGTCTCTGATTTCAGAAGAATGTGAAGTTTTTGCCCATCATGTCAATGATATCATGCAAGTCCCATCAAGTTTATTTTTTTATAATAACGTATTCACATAGCAAACTGGCATTTTTATAATGCCATAATATATGCGTAAGGTCAAGTGTTATCTGCATATTGCCTGAATTGCTTCTCCAAATAAGACTGCAAAAAGAATGGGAACTTTGTGTTATAAGCTGTTGTCATCTGGTTGGAAATGACAAATTAGGGTTAGATTTTTAGTTGGTGCCAAGGTTTTCACAGCAGAGATTAAATAAAAAAACAGCAATCATCCTTTATTGGTACAGACACAGGAATTTTCTTAAGGCACTTGACAAGCTCTGTATTTGATTGTTATTGTTGCAGGAAAAGGAATTCCCGGGTTTCTGCTCTGCCACTGGTTTGTCACATTGCAGTAGATTGATTGCAAAGCATTCCCACTGTAATGCTGTGCCTGGCTGCAATCACGCGTCTGGGGCATGAGCCATCAGTGTCTTTGGCTCCTTTGCCATGGTGGTGGCATCTGATGAAAGCCAAAAAGCTGGCTGAGATATCTATGATTTACTCAATTTTTCATCAAATTTATTGAGCCAATATTGCACTGGTGAATGATATAAGCATGGCTTTAATAGGTTCCCTCTTATTACAACAAATTTCTGCCTTCAAAAATATTGTTTTGGTCCTGGCAGCATGCCATAGACTACAATGTTAAATGACTCTGACAAACCATTCACTTGTCCTCCTCCATATCTATACAACCAATTTATTTTATCCCTTTTGTGAGGGTAAGAAAAAATGGAATACAGATTTTTGTGGAGCCCAGCACCAACTCTGGCGGCAAAGAAGAAATCTTGGGGCCAAAAAAGCTGAAGAACGCTGATTTTGGCGGCCAAAAGATAAGCTGACCATTGGCCGGGAAAGGGCTGATTTTGGCATCAAAAAAGCTGATTTTGGCGGCAAAAAAATGATATTGGTAGGCAATAAAGGGTTGCTTTTTGCGGGGGAACAGAGCTGCTTTTTGCAGCAAAAAAATGATTGTGGCTGCCAAAAAATTCCAATTTCAGAAGGATGAAAAAGTAAGAATCTAGCCAACTTTTCTCTTGCTGAGAAATGTTTAGTCCATATTGTTTCTATACTCTTGGGGTTTTTTCTACACATCTGATTCAATTCTTTTCACAATGAACTTTAGCTGCTTCTTTAATTCGAACTGTTTTCTAGCACTGTACATATGTGTACTGTAAGTGTACCTGACACACTCATTCCTTGGTTTCCTGTTGACCTTAGATGTTACCACAGTCGATTGGTGGTTCTGCTGCCTGAAAATTTTGACAGTGACGCCGATTTTAGAAAAGTAAATTTACTGACCAGCTTTCCTAGGTTGTTCAATAAGAGTGAGAATCTGGGGTGAACGTGAAATGATACCTTCAGTTTCGCGGTTGAAAGTGCGCACTGGCGATGTATACCGCACGAAGCGGCTTTTGCGTTCCTTCGGGTTCCCGGCAAGTTAATTAATGTGCCGGTTTTGAGTAATGAGCGTCGATGTGAGCGTTGGTGTACTTGTCGTTGCCAGAATTTTTCGAAAGAAATTCCACATTCCTACGCATTCATGTCGAGCAAGCTACAAATATTACTTACCCGGCGTGATGTTCCTGAGGATGTTCTGAGTTTTCTGCGAAAAAGGTTGTGTGGGTTAAGGTTTTGCGAGATGTGAGAAAATGAATGCTGTACTCAAGTAAGGTTGAATTATCGCAGTTGTGAAGTAGACTTATGGATGGGAGATGGTCCGATTCCACGGGATGAGTTGCTGCGTCGCATTGTTGGGAAGAACGGCTTACTTTGCCTGGTGACAGAAAAGATAAACGAGGAAGTTCTGAACGCCGCGGGTTAGACGATAGAAAGCTAACCGAACTTCTAGTTTTTACATATCTGGGTCACTTATTACGCAGGAGGAACACTTCAGGTCATCAGCAGTTTTTCTGTGGGTTTGGATCACCTGGACATCGATTCAATCAAGAAGCGCAATATTCGAATCGGACATACGCCAGGTGTTCTTACTGATGCCGTTGCTGAATTGACGATAACGCTGCTTCTTGCTGCGTCCCGCAGAATATTCGAAGCTCATAATGAAATACTAAAGTGAGGTTTCTCGGACGATTTTATGTGAATTTCGTGTAAAATACTGCCTAAACGTTTTAGTGGAGGTTGGTCACGAAGCTGTTTGAGTCCACTATGGATGTGTGGCAAAGAACTGCGAAACTCCGTGGTTGGAATCGCGGGAATGGGAAGAATCGGCTTTGGTGTTCTTGAACGCCTTCAGTCTTTTAAAATTGCCAAAGCTTTGTACACGGCTCGATCTGAGAAAGTTCACGGTTTGTAAAAGCAAAGGTTCTTACTTAATTTATGCCACGAAAATACGGTATATTCGTCCCTATATTCAGCCAACGCTATAGGAGCTGAGAAAGTTTCTTTTGACGAATTGCTCGAGAAGTCGGACTTCGTCATTTGCTGCTTATCCTTGAGCCCCGAAGTATCCGGTCTCTTCGACTCGTCTGCGTTCAAGAAGATGAAGAATTCCGCGATATTCGTTAACGTTAGTCGAGGAGGTTTGGTTGTACAAGAGGACCTCATTCAGGCTCTCAAAACCGGTGAAATTCATGCTGCTGGTCTTGATGTTATGACGCCGGAACCTCTTGGTTCGGATCACGAGCTTCTAAAGCTTGATAATTGTAGTGAGTCCTGCTCATGCATCTATGCTTTGTTTTCAGAATGATGAGTTAAACTTGATTTCATGCATCCAGCTGTGATCCCTCACATTGGAAGTGCCACTTATACTACTCGACTCGCAATGGGTATGCTAGCGGCGGAAAACCTCTTGGCTGGGTTGCAAGGTTCAAAAATGCCAGCGGAGTATGCTTGATGTTTGAGATGTGAACGAATCTCTATTCGGGCGCGTTTTTCTGAAAATTTAGTAAGAGTCTGTAGAAGTACGTTTTTCCCTGTAACATTTTCTTTTACCGGCTTCTCGGATTCTGCGCTTTCAGAGAACCAGTTCGTGTTATTGCGTTTGTGCCTTGTGTCAGGAAACGAGTGTGTTCGAAGTTGAAGAAGCACTGGAAATTATATTCTTCGAACTACGTGAGAGATATCCGTGGATTTCTCATGAAGGTTTTATCGTCGCAATATGTCATCCGAGGCTATCGTTTATGTCACGGAAAACGATTGCAGTTCCTGATTTCATCTCTGTGCCTTTGAACGGCGCATCATGTAGCCGTTCGCACTTACTGATGCAACGAATAGCTCTGAAGAAATGCCGTTGAGCACTTCCGCAAACTTGAGGTATGTACAAGTAATATGCGTCAATGTCAACAGAAATTATTCTTAGCCCGTTGAACTTCGTTCTACGGATCAGGAAATTTTTTCTTGACAACTGGCGATTCCTTTCTAGTGCTCGATTCAAAATAATTCCACATCACGCGTTGCTTTATCCATGTAACCCGTACGGAACCCAATTTTATTAGATGTGAGTTTTCCGTTTGGCTGTACCAGATGTTTTTCGAGCCGTTTCCTTCGTGTAAAAGTTTCGGAAAATGGAAACACAACTTGCGATTTCGAAAGATAGGAACTTACGGTGAATTCGTGGTCACAGGATGTCGCACGTTGTGTTCAACCGATTCAAATCTTCTTGTATAGTACTGTATTGTAAATTTTTCGATAGCGTGGTAAATCATGGAGAGATTAACTGTTGAATTAATTTATTTTAGTCATACTGTTACGCTTGACTGACTCCATGAATGGGATGGAAATACTGTGTGTTTCTGCGTGTTGGAAAACCTGATACGGGAGTGGTCACAGGATGCGATCAAGTGTTCTGTTTCTTGCGTAATGTGCGCCCTTGGCTTCTGTGTGCATTTCCATTTGATTGCAGAGCCAGCATATTTAGCTGACATTTTGATTGTAAAAAAAAAACCAGTTACTCAGTTATCATGCAGGGTTCTTTGTTTTTCTTGCATCAAACGACAATGCTGACTACGTTAATTGATTGCGGAAGTGTTTTCCGGCTTCGTGTTCGCTAGATAATATCAAGGACTTTTCGTAAATTAAAATGACATGACTGCTTTATAAGTTACCCCGTTTACTGGTCTACCACCCCTACCACCCGCACCTTCTGAACAGAAAATTACCCAAAGAAATGTGGCGCACGTCCTAAGCGGGTGCGAATCATTATTTTCATTTTATTTCCAAAAGTATTTGCGAGTCACGGGGAAATATTTTGAATGTTTTCAAAACAGGAATTAATGTATATCAAATACGTTCATGGATAAAAATCGGAAGTTTGGTCCAAATTAAAGTCATATGCTATTCATCTTTGTGTTTCATAGCTTTATCCTCAATGTTGAACCTGCAGTAATCATTTGTAAAACCTGCCCTTGGGAATGAGTCGCTGATGTAGAGAGAAGAGTTCCTTCGAAGAAAGATATATTTTATCTGAATTTTGAAAACATGTGAATGCTGCCAACTTACTCAATGCAGAGAAAGATTTGACTACTGTTTTTGAATGGTTGAAGCCTGAATAAAAAATCTGAAATTTTATGTGCGGTTGAAAATTGTAAAACGTGGATTTCGCCCAAAAACGGCAAGTAAACATAAAAACAATCTACCCTGGATTGTATCTCATCTAATCTTCCAAGTTATTCTTCAGTTTTTAAATGTTATTGCAAGTGATTTCTAGTGGGTTAAAGCTGACTTATCTGCTGACTGTTTCTTTCAAACATAAGGAAAATTTGCAGATTACCTTTAAAATAATGCAGTCTGATTTTCATTACCTCTACTTCATGGTATGGAAATATGATGTTCACGTGAATGAAAATCCAAATACTGTACTGTACAATATTTTCAGTGTTCAGTATGTGGTTCTTGGACTTTCAAATAAGCATAAGTGTCATGATACTGTTTCTTCCAATAAAATAAAAACTCTACGACGTTCAAAAGCCACTGAAGTTAAAATGTATCTCAACACGATTTTTATATTGCAGTACAGTATTCATGTTTTCTCACGTATTTTAGTTTCAATGAACTTCACTCCTAATGTAAATATATTTTTTCCAGGGGAAACATTATTTCAAAGAATCACGGAAGCCATAAGCTGGCAGATGAAACAATGAAGCCACACAAAAAAAATCTGCAACCAATTCCATTTATCTTCAATTTGAGCTTAAATTTATATTTTCAATGGGTTTGTATTAAGAAAGGTGATTTTATAAGGTACCTGATGTTCCTCGTCACTTCATTTAAACGGGATGCTTTTGATGAGTTTTTTTTTGTGTGTGTGTGCTACGTTCATCAAGCATTGAATTATACCAGAGAGAAGCAGTTTCCGATAATACGCCGTGGAAGAAAGCTGAGGAATTTTTCGATTTTTGCACTTTTTTTCGTCGGAGTATCTTTTCTTCTTTTCTTTTCAATGTGTAGGTAGCAATGCGTCGACTATTCTAAGTGCCGATTTTCGGATCGTCCTTGTTCTTCGCGTGTTATTTTGTTCATTTCATTTTTAAGAATTCCGTTCATGGAGATCCATTGAAGAAATACATCCGAGAGCCGAAACGGGATGAAAACGCGAGCTCGCACTGTTGGCCGTTCCATCTTGAGGATCTACAGTGCAGTGCACCATTCTAGCAGGTAAATCAATGATTTGTTTCAGTATTTTACGATGCCTTTTGTAATGCGACACAGCGTGAAGCAAGCGTATTATCTTTTTTTCACATGCCGTTGTTTTACCAGTTTCTGAAATTTGCGCTTGGGTAATAGTACATTCGGTAAACCCAAATAAACTTTCGTTCTCCTTCTATGAGATGCTTAAATATTTCCCAATATCCAGAATCATTGCATGGAGTTGCACCGTTTGAAGAAAGGAACAGCGCATTGAAGAAGGTGCGGAGTTCCAGTCATCATCATGGTTTCAGCCTTCGAAATGACAATTTGATATTTTTTGGAAAAATCGGTCTCAAATCCGGCGAATGCTTTCCATTTACGTTGGTGACTACTGTCGCCTAGGCCCCTATAGGGTGGGCTTAATATCGATTGAATCATCGGCAACAACAGAGTGAACTTGAATTGCTGAAACAACTGTTTTTATTTTTCTACAATGATGCGTTTGTGGAACACAGTCTGAAAGAATACAGTATATTGAAAAATTGCCGGTAGCATTCATTGTTTTTTTTATCGTGATCACCTTCCAGCTTTTTAAGTTGTTGCAATTCTTGGAAAGAAATTATTCACCTTGCTTCATGTTGCTGTATTTTCTCCTGAGCGGCGTTTTTGATCGATGCATTTCTAGGCTTTCTGGAAAGTTGGAACTCAGTAAATCATCGCGTCAGTTCATCATCAGGACTATTTTCGTCGATATATTTTCTGTTTAATAATTTTTCGTCAGCCGAGATACTCGGATTCCGTACAGTAATTAAAAGAAATTACTGAGATGTCATTTAACGCTCCTTTTTCATGTGACAAATTGACAGTTGTACTGAGGACCACGAATTCGCTTGAAACTCGACTTAATTCGTAGCCTTGATTGTCTTGAGTTGTCGAGCTACTCGTATCTTATGCTGTAATATTTTATTCACGGTAATGTATTGTCTGCAGGATAGTTCATTAACCTCAATGAGTGACTATATGTCCGTCATTCAGATCCTAAAAACGGTTTCGTCCATCAATTCAGACAATCGAATACTGAAGGATTGTTCATCCTAATGAAGCAATTGCGGTCGTACACGTACTGGAACATGAACATCACTATTTAATTCACGTAGCTTTTGCAAAAATTTGTTGAGGATTTTTATTTGCTGATTACGATTGTTCAGACTGTGGGCATTCGAGTCTGATGACTCCGGGAACGACAGCGTGGCCAACAACGAAAGTTTCGTAGTCCGAAGCAGTATTCAGCTTCATAAATGTGCTGATTTCGGCGTCTCGAGGGTGTCCGATCAAGAATGTGCAGTTCGTGTCTGGAACTGGCTTTTCGCGTTGCAAGAACTTGTAGTAGTGGCATTTGCGTGGCTCCTTTCCTCTCAACGTGGGAATCATTTCGTATAGGTGCACTTCGTGACACCGATGAAGGAGGAAAATGAAACCTGGAGAAGAAACATCAACGTTCGGTGATTGATTCGAAATCATCCGGACAGTATTTTTCAGATCGAAACTTATGTTGGATTTCCTTGACGTTATTCAAATTCTTTCGAATCCTTAAAAAAAATCTTCTTAGCGGCTGGGTGAAACTTGACCATCTCATGCAAGGTCCTATCGCAAAATTCGCGTGGATTTCGTCCTCTCCGTCCAGAAAAAAATTAACTGAGTTATTTTGCACACCTTTTTATGTGTGATGAGATTTTTTGCGGAAAATGTCGCGGGTAAAACATTTTTCACGACTTCTTATGGTCTGTTAAGTCGCACAACTGAAAAGGTAACCGAAAATACTAACAAAGGACGAATACGTCTGCTGACATTCCGTTGTAAACATTTTTCGCTGACAATCGTAATTTGGAAATTTTCCTAATCAAGGGTATCAAAAATTTAACTTTTGAAAGAAAATGTTTTGGTTGTGATTGTAGCTGTTGAAGATCGCAGCTGAAATAAACTGAAGCAGTTGGTGAAAAGTTTTGTGGGAAATGCCTGCATTATAAAAAACTATCGTAAAAATTACGAAACCTTGAATTTTGTCATTTATTTTTGATTCTCACCAAGTCAAGAGCATTAGTCTTTCAAATAATCAACTCCGTGAAATTCGTGATTGGATGACATTTTTCAACAAATCGAAATAAAATCATGAAAATATCAGTTTTAATTCGCCTGCAAGTAAAATTTTCGGTAACTAGTGGTCCGTCTGAAAAACCCCAAAAATATCTGGACTCGCCCCTCGTCTTTATATTTGGTGAAGAAGAAAATTTAATAAATTCGAACCTATGAATCCCGAAGACGGTGTTGAGATTTCAATCGGAAATGCGCTCAGTTCTTGCAGCATTTCGCCCAATTCCCAGATCCAATTGGGATCCAAGTAGTATAACTCCTTGTTCTTGTTACGCTTCTTCCAAGCAAAGTAGGGCTGGAGAGAATCCTGCTCGTCTTTCCTTATGTCTTCGCTGTCCCTGTTAACCAAGCACTACGGAGATTGCCTATGATTAATCTATTCGAGATCTGTACACATATCCTCGAGTTTAAATAGTTTTTAACTGTGTAGAAGGGTCGTCTGTCGTTGCAGGTGTCCCAGCCCAGCAAAACTTCGGTGCCCTGGAACGCAGGTGTCCCGCGCAATTTCCCGCGACTCTTGTTGAGGACGAACAGTTCGAAATTATTGAGTAATCTCATGGTTGTCCGTCTTCCGACATCTGCCTCCATGTTTTTCACTGGTGCTGCATTTAGCCGCAGGACCAAGTCGTGGGAATCTGCAAAGGATTTTATGTCGTCAAATCACCACTCAGATGCATCATAATTGGGGGGGGGGGGGATCGGTCTTTTGCTCTTTGTTGTCCGAAGTTTGCCCTGTGGTGATTTTATGATCAGGTTAGGTTTGTTGGAATCCTTGAGAGTTGTGTTTCAATTTGGGTTGAATCAGTGTTCCCCAACCATTTTGTGCCTGAGGACTAGCAAATTTCCATACTATTGTTTGCTGGCTGACAAAACTTCGAGAAAAATTCTGCAGACTTGCAGAGTTTTGCACAATTTTGCAGACTCAAAAAAGTTCTCAAGACTTATGGCAGGTATTTGAAAAATTTCTGCTTTTTTGCAAAAATTAAGTTAAGAAACAGTGACTTAGCAATAGTGGAATGTCCTCAAAAATTATAAAAGTGGGCTTGGAGCAATGTTCTCCAAATGAAAATTAACATGATTTATTTCAGCAGATGCAAATTTTTCTGGAGTGTTACTTGGAGCAAAACCAACTTTTATTTTTCATCAGATAATCTCAACTGCCATTATTTTTCCAAAATTTCAGATACAGGTAACAGACTTCGTTGCTAATTTTGATGAATTCGTTTTGCTGCAGAAAATTTTCTGGGGACCAGCAAGAAACTTTTTTGGACTGACGCTAGTCAATGGTCCACAGGTTGGGGAACGCCTGGTTAGATTATTCATCATTTGTTCATCATGTATGCAAACCAAAATTACATAAGAAGTACATTTCCTTCTTCTGTTTCAAATATTTCAGAGGTCCTGCACTCGGTTTGGTTTCTATAGAGTATAGACAGCAGTGCGAGGTTGTTTTGTGTTGCGATAGGTTCGCTGAGTTTCATTGTTTGTCCAAGTCATGGTCTAGTCTAAGAAGGAAAGTAAAATACTGCAATGAATAACTGATGATATACCAATCATTTTGCCCAAACTGGAATTGATCAATCTTCCGGAGCTGGACACTAGTGCGCATGACTCGTAAATCCGTCCGGGAAGAATCTCTTTCCTGTCGGGAAAATAATTCCTCATCGGATTGAGATTGAATGGAAATTCATGTCGGGTTAAAGATTGTGCCGGAAACTGTTTCAAGTGGCAGAGGATTTTTTCTCGCGTTTTGTTTGCGAATCGTCCGACGAGTCGTGTTGGAAATTTGGCCCAAGGTGATTCAGATCTCTTCAAAGCCACCTCCGCAATAGTGTCCAGAAGATGTCGCTTGAAATCTGCGTGATTTCAATAAGCATTATTGATTGCCAAAGTGAGAAAAACTGATTTAAGCCCACCTGCAATTTCATTGTATATGTTCTCCGAAGTGGAGTGATGTTGAATATCTTGATGAAACCGTTTTCTCTCGAAATCGTTGATACGCAAAGAAGGGGATGTTTTGAAGACAAAAGTCGCGACAAGCACCACTGACCAGTTTGTGTTGTAAATTACAATCAGGATGCACAAACAGCTGGTGCAAAGACTCACTCGTTTCAAATTCCAACACGTGTTCATTTCAAAAAAGTCGGTCATTAGTTCCACTTCTTAAAATGCATCGTGAGCCACCGTGTATGAAAAATTATGCAACACTTCGTAGGCAAGAGGATGAAATTCGGTGCTGGTTTGCTTGGCTGCATTGCTCGATATTTGTTGCTCTTAAAAAAAATTAGGCACAATTACTGTGGCTTGTTTACTCATCGATCGCCGCTTTTGATTGAGCACACGGCCTGGTGTGGTTCTTCGCGCGATTGAGCACACAAAGCTATCGAACGTTTTTCATCTCAGTAATTCGAGCGTATATTAGCAAGTTTTGGAATTGTGATCAATCAGTATTTCGATCAATTTCTTGATTCAAATTAGCAAGAATATCAATTCTGCGGACATTTTTCTGCATAGGCAGTTTTTCTCCTGCGTGAAATTTCCGAAGAGAAATTGAAACTGGCGGGAATTTCTGGACCATTGAAAATGCTGTATTTGCTATTGTTCAGACATGCACTGTTTTTGGCGTGCAGAATTTTAACCGCTCCTTCTAGCATTTTATAGATATGTACAGCATTCATTTTTGTCACTGGCGGTTTTGAAAAGTCTTCGAAAAAGCTGGAATGGGGGAAACCATGCAATGTCACAAGCGATAATCTTTGTCAAAAAAATTATTCCCTTGGTGGATTTCTGCCTGCTGCAAAATCTGCGATTAGTGTATTGTTCTTGAGGAGGCTTCCTAGAAAAAGAAGTATGACATTATTCATTATGACATCCGTCACTCAAATTGTTCATTCGGACAGGAGTTCAGGATGGAAAGAAAATGCTGGAAAAAGAATTTGAATCAGTGAATCTTCTCATGTGCTCGCAATTCACAATTTTGTAGAATTCGCCGCTCAAATGCAGTATCTCCGATGGTACGGTTTTTCCTTTCATGTTAAATTGACGAAAAAAGTAACGAATGAGGGTTTCTTTTACATTCGAAAACAATTCATTTGGTGTGCAGTTATCTAAAATGAAATGTAGTCGTGTGCTGACGTGTGTCACTTCAAACCAGACCAGCTTATTTCATGATTTCAGAACTTCTTTGAAAAATTCCGCTTAGCGCTCAATGAGTGACTTTGAGTAGAATTATTCTGTCACAGTATTTTCCGGGACAACTTGTATGACAAGGTTATTTACCGTATATATAATATTGAATTTTCAATCTCTCAGTACAAATATAGTGATGTCCTTCTAATTTGTGTTGGGTTCGTTTAATTTACTTGGGATACGTCTATATGCTATATTTTTGATGTACATGTGATGGTGGGTTAGGTTACTTTGGTTGGTATTGTAAGGGGGAACACTCAAACATCTGCTAGCTCAGGATCTGCCCGCACGCCGCGCTGGTCTTTCCTTGGATGGACATTCCCCCAAACAAATCCTTTGTAGTAAAATTACGATGTACTGTATTTTCCTCTGTTTATTTGCTGCGTTGAGTAAATACGTTAGGTTATGTTGAATTAGGTTAGGTTAGGTTGTTAGGTTAGGTTAGATTAGGTTGTTAGGTTAGGTTAGGTTAGGTTGTTAGGTTAGGTTGTTAGGTTAGGTTAGGTTGTTAGGTTAGGTTAGGTTGTTAGGTTAGGTTAGGTTAGGTAGTTAGGTTATTTCCAGGGAAATTCCTGATAGGAGAAAATTTATTATTTCTAGCACTGTTGGTAATTGTGCCCTTGTCTGTATTCACTATTTCAGATATTTCCACAGACATATTGAAGTGAAGGAATACACAAGATGAGAGGGAAAACTAATTTCATGATCTTTTTGAGTTAGACACAGGGAAAAGGCTGGGTAGAGACTGATGTTGGTTGAGTATGGTTGAGCTGAGTTTTGTAGCTTGGTGGAAGGTCACAGGGGCAGATATATGAATATATATGCTAATCAGCTTGTCTGTCTCTTGATTGACTCCTTGTTCAAGATGAAATAGGTGTGGCATTTCTGGCTTGACTCTTGGTTCTTTGAGGTAGAATTCTGGAGGGGTCAACAGCAGCAGGATCAAGGTCCAATTGGGATGGACCTTGTGGTTGTTGGATAGGTGTCAGGTATACAGGTAGTCCCAGAGATTGATTCTGCCTTTCTGGAGCATGAGTGCATTTCTTATTTTGATCAGAGGATCTTGTTGTTGATCTGGAAATGCAAAGTTCAGGATTGCTGGCAGGAGATGTATGAGGTGTACTGGTTGATGTCGGGTCCACAAGTGTAGGCAGGTTGTAAGATTGGTCATTGGGTGAAAAAAAGGTGACCAAATTCATGGGTGACTTCTTGGGCCACATCCTTCAGTTTTTGTATCAGGCCAGGTTTTGGGGTTGTTGAGGGTTGATGAATGATGATCACAGGATCAGTTGTGTCAGCTGGCGTGGTTGTTGTGTCAGGAACAGGTAGGGCAGCAGACGTATTGTTGTCAGCAAAAGTGTTGTCAGCAGAAGCACATAGATCAGCAGAGGTGGTAGAATTATTGATATCAGGTTTCACTTCAGGGTTGATATTTTCAGCAATATGGTCAGTGTTGTCAGCAAGGTCAATGATGTCAGCCTGAATATTAGTTGTTGATTTTTTGACACAGGGAGGGGGATCACCGGTCTCCAAAGAAAAATCAAGGTCCTCCTTGTGATGAATTTTCAGGTTTGTGATGTTGTGAAAGTTGAGGATTCTGGGACTCTTCAGATTGTTGAGTATAAGAGAATTGTGGATAAAAATTGTAATCTATAAATACAGTGGGCCCCCATCTTACGTCATCAATCCGTTCCAGGATGGACGTCATAACATGGGGCCGTCATAAGTTGAAACCCTATTTCCCTTAAGGTTACATTATAAAAAAATTAATTTGTTCCAGAAAAAAAATATTTACCTAAAATTTCCTTCATAATTCAACTTTTTGTCAGAAATTGCATTAATAGACACAAGACATGCTTGAAAGATTGTATAAAACAAAAGTGATAGGGGGTAGGGTAGTGAAATAGGGTAGGAGGAGAATGATTTTCACAATTTTGAGCACTTCTCACAACTTTTTCCATCCTTCATTTTAAAGCTTGATTTTGAGTCTGCATTGGTTTAAAATTTTTAAATTGAGTGTTTTTTAAAGATGTGTGAAGAAAGAAATTGTGCACAAAATTTCATGTCATACATGCATTTTGAGTTTTGAAATTTTGGTGAGTTCATCGTCCAATTTTCAAGGCTTGATTTTGAGTCTGCATAGGTTTTAAAATTTATAAATTGAGTTTTTTTAAGGCGCAAAGAAAGAAATTTAATACATACTGTGCCCAAAATTTCATGTCATAAACACATTTTGAGTGTTGACATTGTTTGAGTTCATCCTTCACATTTTAAAGCTTGATTTTGAGTCTGCTTAAGTTCTACAATTTTTGAATGGAGTGTTATTGCAAGGAGTAGGAAAAAATGATGTGGCAGGAATAATTCCTCCATTGCTACTTGTTTTTTTGGTGGTGTGGTTGGAAACGAGAGGAAGACTGGAGTGGGGAAAGTCAGAGTGCTTTTATAGTCGTAACATGAAACCCCGACGTAAGTCGGGGGTTTTTTTAATTTAAGAAAAGCGTCATAAGATGAAACGGACGTAACATGGGCCCGTCATAAGTCGGGGGCCCACTGTACTTGCATGCATTGTCATGCATAGAAACAGTGTTGAAACACTGATCACAAAATAACTGTTGACTACACACTTTGTAAAACCAAACGGAAATCCACATCCTGGAAATGACTAGGAACAGAATCCTCAAAAACATCAGAAAGACCCTTTTGTGAGGAAATATTGTTTCCTGAAAAACGTTAGAGCAAAAAGAAATGTCACATTGACAGGGGGAATGGCAAAAATGCCTGATGTATTGATTTTTCTACGTCAAGAAAAATAGACAGTGGATTGAAAGTAGGGGCTCTGATGCCCCATGCTGAGAAAAAAAACCCTGGTGAAAGCAAAATTTATGACGCGGATTTCCATTTTCCGGCAGAACGGTTGTGGAACACATTGTTAGCAACCATTGTATTTTTGTGTATTTTTGGCTCATTTTACTTTCATTTTGGCGCGCTATTCTGCCAGGAGTGTGTTTATAAGCAACATTTTTTTCAGATGCCAAACCAGTTTGGTTTTAGCTGTTGAAGAGAATAGTACGTGAAATACAGAAGCTCATCTTTACTATTGTTGACAATTTTTTCCCTTCTCTGGATTGGCTTACCTCACAAGCCAAAGGTTTCACTTGTCCGCAAATTGACCCGAGTCAAACTTAAAAAAAGCTTACAAAAAAAGGGAAAAAGCTCGCACATTTTTTGGTGCCGCAACCCGGGAACTGCGGAATTAAAGTAAAAAAAAGAGCTGAAATAAAATTTCATAGTCTGTGTGGCTTGTCAGGAATAAACCCAACAAATAATGAATTTAGTTGTAGAACTTTTGGAGGTGAATTTTTAGGATAGATGTTTTGAAATGAAACTCAAGAATTCGGTCGGGCTGCGACCGGGGTGAGAACACCCTATTATAAATTTGATATATTTGTAGGATTGAACAACACTCAATGAAAATAGCTTGCAAAATCTCGGAGTAACCGCACACTCGAAAGCAGAGACTGGACTGTGTAGATCATTATGTTTTTTGGAAACAGGAAAACTGTCCTACAAGGACGAGATTTAGCAATAGGATTAGCAGAGAAGGGCAGCCTTGGAGGCTTCCGTAAGTTATGTGAGAACCGAGGTTTTCCGAGGTTCTCACAGAAAGTGGAATTTGTCCTCAAGGACAAGAATTCGGGTTCTCAATCTCGTTTGCTAAAAGTAGAACTAAAAAATTCGCAACAAAACCCCCCTTCTGTTTCAGAGAATCGAGTTTTGTTGGTTCGAAGAAACAGAAAGAAGTCGCGACCTTTATGCTGATTTACTGTTTTATTCTTTTACATTTACTGAATTACTAACGGAGAGGGGAAAAGAGCGAGCACAACGGTTTTCCGAGAGGAACAAGGCAATAAAGTAATAGAGGAACAAGGCAATAAAGTGCTCTTGCGAAAAGTAGCGTCGACTTCGGTGCAGCTGTTGGGTCGTGACGTCACCAACAGGGGTCGTCTTGACTGTCATGCCGGCATTTTGATGGGTACTCAGTCTGCCGGTATCCATCTTGCGCGGGTTGGAGGTTCCAAAGATCTGCTGAAATCCCTTTTGAATAGTGGTTTAGAGTGTTAGGTGTTGCGAAAGTTTGAAAAAAGGCCTATTGGCTAGATTAATTGTAAATTTAAGAGCTGATCAGGCTCGTGAGTGTATAGTTTGATAGTGTTTGAACTAGTATTTCGATAGATTGGTTCGCGATAGATTAGATCCCACACTTGGGAGTTTTGGTTAGCATGCTTGCTCATTGGTTGTTCCCACACTTGGGTGATAGATTTGACTAGGTTGAAATCTCATTTTGATTTTGGTTAAATAGCTTGGCCACATTTAGATTGATTCCGTTTGGTTTTAGGTTCGTCAAAGTAGGTTGCGTGAGCTCCTTTTCTTGTTCGACGGATTTGATTGAAGAAGTGAGAATCAGTTCTGTCTTGATCTCGGTAAATCTCTGCTAGTATTCTGATTGAGAGGTACTGAAATCTTCGATATGGATTCCAATAGTCAAGGTGAGTGCTATTTTGTTGTTTGAAGACGTGTTTTGAGATTTGATTTTAAAAAATTTTTAGATTTGAATTCCAATGATTCCGAATCTCAGGGACCGTTAATGATAGATGACTCAAATTCTCCTCGAAGTGTTAACGGTAAGAGTTTTTTAGAGTTCGAGAGTTGATAAAACAAGACGGTTTTCCTAAAAGGAAATTTTTGTGTTTGTAATGGATTTCAGAAAATGAGGACGTTGTCATGGAGCCTTTTCAGAGTGATGTGAACGAATCTCTGATCCCTTTGAATTTGAGAGGGAAATCGGGAATTCTTTGTGAGCTGGATTCTTCTGAGTGGGAGAGTTTGATTGATCTTGCTGGTATGGTTAAGAAGCGGAGTATTTCTAACATTGCAAAACGAGGTCTAGAAGCTGAGATTGGGGAATCTGAGCGAGAACTTTCCAAGCACCGGACTAAACTAGAAGCTTTGCGATTGTCTGTAAAAGATCTTGAGGAGGAAAGAGGAAACTTAGAAGAGCACAAAAAGATAGCTGCTGCTCAAAAGGAAATGGCATCTGTTGCTTCAAAAGAAGCTGATTTGAGTGCGTTGGAGTTCTTAGGAAGTATAAAACGAAAAACTTCAGGAGATTTGGCGTCAATTTTGCTGAGATTACAAGGACTGAGTGATATTTGGCTGGAAGAAGGCTCAACTTGTAAAGTTTTCCAAGAAGGTAATTATACGTTTTTAGTTTTGAGGGTAAATTTTAGTTATTGAGTTTTAAATTGGTTTATTGACAGAGGATGTCTGGATGCTTCAACTGGGAGGAGGAACTAACAAAATCACCATTCGGGTCGCTAAATTGGAGAAGTTAATGACTCGATTTGTGAAAGAGCATAAGGTTCCTGGGGTACGTCAACCGTCTCAAACTCCGGTTGCCCCGAAAGCGTCTTCTTTAATTTCTCCCGGACCTCTGAGGTCTATTTTAAAGACAATTGAAAATTCCTCTGTTGCTTTGACTTCTGGGGTAAAAAGAGCAAGAGCCGAAATTGTACCAGAGAAGTTGGACAACTCTCTCCAAGAGGTTAAAGTTTTGGGAGTGAAGAGGGCGGCTGTGCCATTGCCTAGTATTCCAGATTCATTGAAACGCAGAAAACTTCGAGAGAATCCTAAATTCTTTCCTGGTGGACTTACTGATGGTTAGTACTTAATTTGAGCTTATTAAAGTTTTTTCTGAATTATAATGTTGATTCTATTTTATGTGCAGAGAACTTGGCTAAGATTATGGAGGGAAAACAGTTTGTTCCAAAGGATCCTGTAAGTTACCGCCGGAATGTAGCTAGACGATTGGGATTAATGGACGAGCATCTGGAAAGGATTGATTCTATCCAGCTTCCAGTACCTGGATGCGTTGTTCAGGATTGGCTATATAGTACCCCGGAAATTTCTAGGATTCCTGATGATGTAGTTCAGGAGGATTCTAGCCCTAAGGTCATAGTAATTGGAACATCTCTTACTTCATACATTCGGCTTGGAGGAGAAAAGGAGACCTTTGTGGGTCATGTCAGAGCTGAGAAATGTACTCAGAAGCCGGTATTTGACTTTTTGCATCATTTTGCTGGCCTCCCTGTTTCACTTTATCAGGTTTGAAATATTAGAAATTTTGTTTTGACTGTTGAAGTAAATTAACGTTTGGTTTTTAGTACTCAGTGAGTGGTTTGGCGTTCAAATATGGACAATCGTTTTCTCCTGAGGAGTTGAGAGATATGATCTATTATGATCTCAAGCTGAAAGAAGATTTTCAATTCAATCAAGTTTATATACGGATTGGCACAAATGCATTAAGGAGATTGTCAGACGACAGACGGATCTTGACTTCCAAACTTTTGATGGATTCCTTGAGAAATTGTTTGATTATTTGGGAAGATTTGCTCGAGCCTTTAAGTGTTGAGTATTTTACATAGGAGCTTCTGCCCCTCCAAAGTCTCAATACAGAAAGGAAGAGGAAGATCAGTTGAAAGCTTGAGCATTTTTGCCTAAAGAATTACTTTATGCTGAAGATGGTTTTCCAGTCTTTCCTTTGCAGTTTCCAGATGGAAGTAGATACATTGAGAAAGAATCTAGGCTGGAAGTGGCATATGCTATGCAATATGAGATGATTGAGAGATTGTCTAAGATTACTGGAACTTTAATGACAGACGGAAAAGGAGGTCCAGGTTTTATTGTAATGCTTACTCCTATGGAGAGATTGAGAAAATACATAAAGCAAAGTACTCTAGAAGGAGCCTTTGGGCACATGCACATTAGAGCCTACTTGGCTTTTGCAACGGATCATGCAATTGTGATCCAGTTTGGTTTATCGTTAGATTATCCATCAAGAGTTTGGCAGAGAGTTCCGTCCTGTTTGGGTCAATGTCCTATGTGGAATGATGATGGCACTGCCTCGTGTGGCATCTCTCCTCGATTAGATCATAGACATCATTGTCATGCTCAATTGATGGAACATTGTTCGGGAGTTCCTTATGGAAGTGTACCTAGAGCTCAGGGAATTCCATTAATGGTTGATCCGTTTGTGAGGTATTTGCGAGTTTTATAGGGAAATTGGATATGGAACTTGAAGAGTTTTTTATTTGTGTTTTTCAGCTTGCAGAAGATTTATCGATGTGGGATCATTGATGAATGCTTTTCGTTGGAATATATTTGCGGGAGTTACAAATCATCTGCGACGGAGAAGACCAATTTCAAGATCAAAGATACTCATTCTGGAAAGATTGTGGTTGGGGCAAGACTGAAGGTCAAGAATACTGATTTGATAAAGATAGTTATTACAAAAACAGAGGCTGGATTTTGGTTAGTTGGAGAGGGTGGCCCTATGTATTCGGATGGTCGGAATCTTGAATTGTGTTGAAAGTACAGATTGTTCCCCCCCCCTTTTTTAAGGTTGTAAATTGATTCTCACTTCGCATTTTTGATATGGTTTTGATACTTTGTTTTGATTTGATTCGTTTTGATTGATTGGATTTGCTCACCTGTTGATTTTGATTAGTTTTGGTTGGTTTTGGTTTATTCCTCTTTTGAGTTTGATTTGTACCTCGGTTGATTTTGATTCGTACCTCGGTTGATTTTGATTTGTACCTTGGTTGATTTTGATTTGTACCTCGGTTGATTTTGATTGTAAATAAATGAATCGATCTGACTTTGAAAGTTTTGTTTTTTCTTTTTATTGTTTGTCCTTTAGGACCCTACGTAACCTGTTCAACACTCCTCTTTAGGAGCTTCTAAAACAATAACTGATCTAGGTAATCTAGCATTTTGATTAAGTTATTCTAGCCTTTTGAAAAAATCACCCACAGCTTGAATTCTCATAACTGCAATGTTTTTTAAGAATTCATTATCTACCTGTTGCACTTCTGTTTCTAAAGGGATAAGGTTTTGAATTGCCTGATTTTTTAAGACAGTGGGCTCAGATTTTTTAGCCCCCCCTGCAAGAGAAGTATAGTGATTATATCTACAACTCTAATTTTCCCGTCTCTTTTGCTTTTGTAAACATTGATGATTCTAGCTAATTTCCACTTAAGTTTATGCAAGGGGGAACTGGCATTAATCATGTTGGGTTTTAGAAGAACAATTTGACCAACTTTTGGTTCTAAAAGGTTGGTTTTCATTCCAGTTTTTGCATTAAATTTTCTTAGGTTTGATAGGTATCCTTCATAGAAGTTGGTCCATACTCTTTCAGAGATTTCTATTCGTCTGATGGCATTTTCTGAGAGCCTATCTTTGTCAGTAATCCCTAAAAATTTCAAAGGTTCAGGCCCATATAGGAAGGGATTTAGTTCCCAATCTCCTTGATGAGGATTGATAAACATAGATGGAGTTACTGTTATAGGAGATTCTCTTTCTGAAAACAGATAGGTTAAAGGTCTGTTGTTGACCATGTTCTCAATTTGAGCCACTACAGATAGAAGAGAATTCCAGTTATCAAATGAGATTCCTCTGAAGGATCTAGCCAGTCTTTCCTTTATCATGCTCATGTGCCTTTCGTAGAATCCCCCCCACCAAGGAGCTCTGCTAGCATTAAAGTGCCACTCTGCTGTTTTAAGTTTGACTTTTAGTTTGTGTTCTTGGGCTTTAAGAAGCATAGGCCAGGCTGCTCTAAAGGTTGCTGCGTTATCTGAGACTAAGATTTCAGGTTCGACGTTTTGTTTATGACAAAAGGTTTTGTATGCTCCAACGAATGATTTGATTGTTAGGTCCTGTACTGCTTGAAGGTCTATTGCTCTGACAAGAGGGCAAGAGAAAACACAGATGGAGACTTTTAGGGCTGGAATGGTAACTTTGGGTTTTCCTTCTATCTTTCTAGTAACTTCAAGGGAAATTAGAGGTCCCACAAAATCTATTCCTACTGCTTTAAATGGAATAGACCCATGGTATCTATATTCCGGAAGAGGAGCAGGAGGGACGGAGAAGGGTTTAGAATCAAATCTCTTGCACCAGTTGCATGATGTTCTTACTTCTCTAGCTAATTTTCTTCCTTTAGG